TAGCATACCCCAACCGCTTTTTAGCGTATGAGACTTTTTGCCTTAAAAAAAACATAGTTGCTGCCTTACTGCAAACTTAATTTTTCCACTTTTGTTTTTCTTCTTTTTTCGGTTGCCTTGCTAATTCAAAAGAAATTTATAAAGAAGACCGGTATGCCAAACTGTCGCTATTGGAACTGCTGAATTTCGAATTTATTTGGAAATGTGTGATTAAAGAAAAAAAATAAACAAAAAAAAAATTGCATGGAAATTACTTGACCAGTAAATGTGGTTATTCTTTTGTTCTTCCTTCGTTTTTGGATCGATTCGGAAGCTGTCTTATCTACATATTTTTCAATTTTTTTCTTGAGTCTTTCATTTCTAGTTATACAATTCAACCAGTAAGCTTGGCAATAACCAACTTGAGTGTCCTCAGATATTACGAAACTTCTCTTCATCCATTTGGTTCTTAGTTTGCAAAATAACATTCTGAAACTAGTTATCTAAATCAAAACTATTTACAAGCCGATACGTTTTGGTTTAAGAATTTTGGCACTGAGTCAGGTTTCATCCTATTTTTCAACAATCAAACGGTTATTACAAAAAGCGTCTAAATTTTGTAGGGTCATACACCCACAATTTTAGACTTCTACATCGAATCAAAGAAAAATTGCTTAAGAGCTGAAAGATTGCTCATGGAAAAAAAAAATGAAATGCGCGATGGCGTTTGATCAGTGCATTACCATTAGCTGCTAACAAATGTCACCGAGTTGTTTTCCAGCTCTAAAATTTAGCGTGAGCCGAGTTCAGCCCGCGGTCCTCAGTTCGGCAGCTTAGTTTACCTTGGCAACTAATGATGCTCGCTTACAAAATTGTTATCTCCAAATAAATAGCGTTTCCAAATATAAAAAAGAAAATCCTACTTACGTTTAATCTTCGTAATCTGCTCACTTTTTGTGTCTTGAACTTCATGTTGATACGATCCACGATCCACGATCCAACTGAGATATGTATCTACAAGGGAATGACTATTTTACCTCGGTCAATGAAAAGTAGTCGTCATTTGCTTTTAGGCGTCTGAATACATTGGTCCTGTACAGTGGTTAATATATATGCTTTGCAAATACAAGAATGCTTAGTCATGGCGTTGTTTTTTATTAAGACCTTCGACGTATAGAGCAAGATGAGCGAAATGATAAAATAGTCCAGTTGGTAACCTCCTGGATAAAAAAATTGCTATCGGGAAATCTCTTCATCTGTTTTGTTTAAAAGTTTCAATCAAAGTGATATCAAAATAGGAAAAAAAATTTATCTTTAGTTTCATGGGTTTCTTGAAAAGAAGTTATGTCAACAAAGAGTTTTCAAATTAAAGGTTTTTGTACAATAAAGCTTATCCAAGACAAGAGACGTCCTTTAACCGCAGGGGTCGAAAATACAACAAGGACTTTTAGCAGTAAAGACGGCAACGCTGAGGAAGACGTCCAATATTAAAAAGTGAATTTATGTGTTTAGGTAGCATTTCGCGAATGGGTGAATGTGTTTACCATCCGTATTCAGAGGACTACTAAAAAAATGTACGAAGTTTTAAATCGCACGTGCTGAACTTTGGTTCTGCTTATTAGACCTTTTTTCCCCGCGTCTTCGTTGCCGTCGTTATCGTGTTCTGCTTAAGGTCCGTAACATTGCTAATTACAACGTCTACACTGTTATAAATCCCTCTCTTTTCCGCCCCTATAAAGTAAAAGCTAAGATTAAAAAAAAAAAACAGTTAAGAAATGATGACTATATACTGACTGTTACACTGCATTATTTCCATTGTGACAGTGAGCCGTGAAACATGATCTGAGTTATTGAACCTGTAATTCGCCTCTGCATCTTAATTGAAAATTTCACTCGGAGATACGAAATGTCCTTTCCAAGCCTGAGGATGACATGCGTAGAGACCGTTTCTGTAAAGATCAAACAGCTTGCCTGAGAAAACTGTATTTATTCATTTAAGGAAAGGTTTTCTTGCTTTTGTTGTTGTTGTTGATTTTTTTAAGTCAAAAGCTCTTTCGAATTTCGATTCTAACGATTAGGTAGTAAAACATCTGTCGCTTTTGGGCTGAGTTCATTAAACATTTACCTTGTTTACCCCCTTATTACAAACTGGAAAAGCTAATATAAAATAATCCTTATTTGTGCATCACTTATTGGCTCTATAACGTTCTGTCCGTTGCAATATCAATGATGGAAACGCGATGCTTAGCCCTTCTATCAGCTGTTCCTCGTTAGTTCACAACATTCGGACCACCGTGATGTCGAATGTCGTTGTCAATAAGAGTAGAAATCACGCTAAACCACTGTTAATGCGTTAAATACCACACAAGTAAATATCTCCCGCGCTGATCGGCTTGCTCGATAGTCTGGCGAGTACTATTTACCACTGAGCATCCGAAGAGACAAAATTGGGCTTCGTGAGTTTAATTTCCGACCCATTTTTCGGTATATTGATAGAAATAATCTTATTTTTCGGTATCTTCGTAGTATATACTAAAATAGTTATTCAGCTGCGCTTCGGTAAATAATTGTTCTACGTGAAAGTTCTTCTTTTTTCTCAAAAATGGCATTTCATAGATAAGGCACTTGAACTATAACGTAAAGCAAGCCATTCCGCTTTAAAGCATCTTTTTACAGATACTTGTACTTTATTAAAACCAATAATCGGCTTTGCTACGAATCTTTTTCCTTCTTAACACAGTGTTTGTTCATTGTCTCTAACAATGACTGTACCAGAACACAGAAAGAGTGCACAATTATTGTTTGTTCATGATATGAGATCAAAAACAATGTCTGCACCAGTACACAGACAGAGTGCACAATTATTGTTTATTCATGATATGAGATCAAAGATTTATCTCTGAACGCTTAAGTGAGTATTGCAATCCTTTAAATCGTTTCCAGTAAACTGTATCGGCGTACAACGTATATAGCTCACTGTGATAGATACCTTGAGATTCGAGTGATGGCAACTGTTGCAACACGAATCACCTTTGTTCCTCAAAGCACAGCGTAAAAGAGAGTTAAAAAAATCACATCTGACTGAACCATGAACTTAGTGAGAAGTCCCAGTCAAATACTTATCTGTGCACCATTGCCAGCAGCACTCCACCTCCTTTCTTTTGGCAAGCGCAAAACTGCTATAAGAATTAGTTCATTGTTGGGATAATTAGTGCCTGGAATAGCCTGCCTAGTAAGGGAGTACATGTACACGCTAGATAACTGCCTCTATTTGGAACAAGACTTTTATAGACGTTAACTGAACTTTAGAATATTTCTTAGCTTAATATGTAAATGTCTTACAATTTTCAACCTATAGACTAATTGATATTGCATTTTAATATAGCTTGTAAATAGGTCTTAGATTGTACACGTCATTTACACTTTTTATTTATGGGAATTGTCTCGCACAGGCTTAAACTCTCGACTTCCATTTCAATTGAGAGGACTTTTTTTATTATATTTGTATCTCCTGAATAAATGATAAAATAATTAAGGTTAAGCTGTAATAAAAATTGTAAGGGAAATCATCCTATTCTTAGAAAATACTCCATACTCCATCAGTGGCTTTCCCATTTGGCCATTTAGTGCTTTTTATTTTTGACTCCAGAACTTAAAGAGCAGAGATTTTGATCTGAACAATCGCCTTGTAAAGTCATAACTGGAATAGGAATTCACTCTTTTTGAAAACAAATTGCTACGTTGGTTGTTCTGATCAGAAGCTGGTATAGGGGACCATTGACGAATAATCCGTGCAGGTTGTCATGTTTATGATGTATTGCTTACGGGTGTCGCAGCCAGATAGCCAGGTAGAAAATAAGAGAGCCGAGAAGACTTTGTTAATCATAGAACCTATGTATATATAAAGAATAAGAAAGATGGTAAGTTTTGAGCTCGGTAAAGAAATGTACAATGACGTTTTTTCGTCCAGCTACGAGCGTAGGACAAAGATAAAGATAAAATTCTTAGTTCCCTTGACGAATCGCGCTCCGATGCTCTACCACTCAGACAGAGACTCCATGCTGAGCAAGACCGATTACGACGCTCATATCTGACGCGCGTCTTTGCATACTGCTAAGATCGGCAATCTAGAATCGCCATAATTTGGATATATCAACAAAGTTGAAATGGTAAATTGGCCACCGTAACGATTACAAAAGCTGACGTTTCAAGCGTTACCCCTTCGCTCCGACGAAGGGCTAACGCTCGAAACGTCAGCTTTTGTAATCGTTACGTTGGCCAATTTACCATTTCAACTTTGTTGATATATCCAAATTATTTCGTTCAAAGGAGCGATTCCTATAGGCGATACTCCTATGGAGCAATTGCGTAATTACTAAGTCAAAGCCAGAACAGTTCAGTATTATCTGATACGTTCAGAAAATAATTAGGGACAAACTGAGAAGAACTGTGACAGGACCTTTTTGCTTTTATACTATTGTGACGATGACAATTCAATTCAGGAGGATAAATTTGAACTTTGTTGTATGATGAACTGTGAAGTGATTGCTTGAACAAACAAAGTGGGGAAACAAACTGAGAAAACTTATTTCCATATACATATACCGGGAATCTGCGGCAACTGGATGTCGGACAAACCGAGAGAATTGTCACATGAATTTTTTTCTTACTCTTTTAATGCTTTGGGATACTCTCGAATACAAGTCAGTGTAAATCCCCTATGTTAATGGGGGAGAGAGTGCCTGTCATGTGACCAAACAATGGCTGCGAAGAAGGAGACTGCAATTGAAATGGTGGCAAATTTCAAAAGTTAATCGAAGCTACACTGAAAGGTTTTTACGTGAACAATAGATCCAGTGAGCAACCAATGAGCTTTGCGCACTAGTCCAGTCTACTGAAAGTCAATATATATGCGTTATTATTCAAACGTGAGGTCAAGATGACTGGATATGGCCGAGTTATTTTTTCACATTTTTGTGGACCGAGACGAATTCAAGGTTCACAAAAATGCGAAAAAAAAAAAACCAGGCTGTTATTCAGCTATCTCGAGCGAACAGTCTTGGTTAATTCAATTTTATTCATGCGTGGGATCAATGTGGGCAATCCCGAGCGGGCAAGATGGGTTCATCTTGCCCGCTCGGGTAGCCAATCAGAACACAGAATTTGCTTCATCTTGCCCACGGCGCTGCGAGCGATGTAATAACAACACTTACAATGAATTGTATTGAAGCTATCGAAAAAGTTTAATTTAAAGGTGTCATCATGCATAATTATTTACTTGCTAAGATAGCTTAGTTTCTTGATCGGGTACTCTTCGATAGACATCGCCTTATACCTTGGTTTTTAATTTCATCTCGGTGCGTTTCAGCGAGTAGCGATAACCCCTGAAAGTTTTCCAGTTGACTCCATCAGCAAAAGAAGCATGGGGACCAGTAAGGTATAATCCGTTCAGATTTGAGCCATGGCAGTTTTTGTACCATCAGGCTCCCTTGTATTGTTGGGCACAGTTGGACACGTGTTGACCGAGATCATTGTCTTGATCTTTGGTAGAAAACTGCATATTGCTGAAATGAAATAAAATTTTATGTAAGCCTGTCTCTATCAAACTTAAATGTGCGGAGAATGTTTTCCGACAAAAAGGCTCTGCAACTTAGTCTGCTTTTAGGATTACGTGGAAAAATTTGCAGAGACAGTAGAGATAGACATCTACTGAGACAAATATATGGACAAGAATTGATCGTTAACTTTATTTGTTTGGCGATATGAAATTCGTTCAGTATGTTTAGAAGTAAAATATCTTCGTAATCTCACTTATAAAATAATAGAAACCTATCATGTCCTAAGGATGCACTGTCTCGTTAGAAAGCTATCATGATGAATTCTTCGTTGCAATTCACTTAAGGAAGCTACAGAACGCAGAACTTGGCCGGTTCACGCAGAACTTAGCCGGTTCACGCTTCAGCTCCTCGGTATTAGAAAATTATTTTTTAAAAACTTGTATGGGGCTGTGTAAGTGCCGATTTGTTTTTGGAAGGAAGTCATGCCATTTCGCAGTACAAATAGAGATCTTAGAATTTCGGGAGTCATACCGCGCAGTGTCTTCAACGGTCTTTGATGATTTCTTGTGCCAACCAAGCGCACGGAAAAGCTCATCGTTATCAAGCTCATTGCTTGTTTCATTTTAATTTCACCAAAATTAATCTTTTCAAAAATAATCTGTATGTGGTGCTCAGTTAGTCCCCACGAATGCCTTTCTTACCTTTGGTATATCATAGAATCACCAGCTGTGGCACTGTATCCTGCAATAAAAAGCCGTTACTTATCAGCCTCGTCTGCCACCTTAAAAGTCGTGTACTCACTGTAGGCGACTTTGCCATCAAAGTCTTCCAGGTCAACTCTCAACATGACGTCATCAGCGGCTGTGAAACGGTGAATGTTGTCATTTCCAAGCCAGAACTCGCCATTCAGATTTCCAAAGCCTTTTTTGTAGGACTCCCATCCAAGATAAAAGTCAACAGAGCCGTCCAAGCGTTTCTGCAAAACGGTCCAACCTCCACCGTCCGTTTTCATATCGCACAACACTTGTATTGCTTTGCCGCCATCTNAGACAGGCAACTGGATCTCGGACAAACCAAGAGAATTGTCTCATGAATTTTTTCTTACTCGTTTCATGCTTTGCAATACTCTCGAATACAAGTCAATGTAAATCCCCTATGTTAATGGGGAAGAGAGCGCCTGTCATGTGACCAAACAATGGCTGCGAAGGAGACTGCAATGCAAATGGTTGCAAGTTTGAAAAGTTAATCGAAGTTACACTTGAAGGTTTTTACGCGAGCAATAAATCCGGTGAGCAACCAATGAGCTTTGCGCACTAGTCCAGCCCACTGAAAGTCAATACATATGCGTTATTATTCAAGCGTGAGGTCAAGATGACTGGATATTGGCCGAGTTATTTTTTCGCATTTTTGTGGACCGAGACGAAGTCAAGGTCCACAAAAATGCGGAAAAAAAAAACCAGGCTAATATTCAGCTATCTCGAGCGAACAGGCTCGGTTAATTCAATTTTATTCATGCGTGGGATCAATGTAGGCAATCCCAAGCAGGTAAGATGAACCCATCTTGCTCGCTCGGGTAGCCAATCAGAACACAGAATTTGCTTCATCTTGCCCACGGGCGCTGCGAGCGATGTTATAACAACAATTACAATGAATTGTATTGAAGCTATTAAAAAAGTTTAATTCAAAGGTGTCATCATGCATAATTATTTACTTGCTAAGATAGTTTAGTTTCTTGATCGGGTAGTCTTCGATAGACATCGCCTTATACCTTGGTTTTTAATTTCATCTCGGTGCGTTTCAGTGAGTATTGTTGACCCCTGAACGCTTTCCAATTGACTCCATCAGCAAAAGAAGCATGGGGACCAGTAAGGTATAATCCATTCAGATTTGAGAGATGGCAGAGTTTGTACCACCAGGCTCCCTTGTATTGTTGGGCGCAGTTGGGCGCGTGTTGACGGAGATCATTGTCTTGATCTTTGGTAGAAAACTGCATATTGCTGAAATGAAATAAAATTTCATGTAAGCCTGTCTCTATCAAACTTAAATGTGTGGAGAATGTTTTGCGACAAAAAGGCTCTGCAACTTAGTCTGCTTTTAGGATTACGTGGAAAAATTTGCAGAGACAGTAGAGATAGACATCTACTGAGACAAATAGATGGACAAGGATTGATCGTTAACTTTATTTGTTTGCGATATGAAATTCGTTCAGTATGTTTAGAAGTAAAATATCTTCGTAATCTCACTTATAAAATAATAGAAACCTATCATGTCCTAAGGATGTACTGTCTCGTTAGAAAGCTATCCTGTTGTAGTCTTCGTTTCAATTCATTTAAGGAAGCTACAGAACGCAGAACTTGGCCGGTTCACACAGAACTTAGCCGCTTCACGCTTCAGCTCCTCGGTAGTAGAAAATTATTTTTAAAAAATTGGTGTGGGGCTGTGTAAGTGCCGATTTGTTTTTGGAAGGAAGTAATGTCATTTCGCAGTACAAATAGAGATCTTAGAATTTCGGGAGTCATACCGCGCAGTGTCTTCAACGGTCTTTGATTATTTCTTGTGCCAACCAAGCGCACGGAAAAGCTCATCGTTATCAAGCTCATTGCTTGTTTCATTTTAATTTCACCAAAATTAATCTTTTCAAAAATAATCTGTATGTGGTGCTCAGTTAGTCCACACGAATGCCTTTCTTACCTTTGGTATATCATAGAATCACCAGCTGTGCCACTGTATCCTGCAATCAAAAGCCGGTACTTATCAGCCTCGTCTGCCACCTTAAAAGTCGTGTACTCAGCGTAGGTGACGTTGCCATCAAAGTCTTCCAGGTCAACTCTCAACATGACATCATCCGTGACAGTGAAACGGTGAATGTTGTCGTTTCCAAGCCAGAACTCGCTATTTAGATTTCCAAAGCCTTTTTTGTAGGATTCCCATCCAAGATAAAAGTCAACAGAGCCGTCCAAGCGTTTCTGCAAAACGGTCCAACCTCCACCGTCCGTTTTCATATCGCACAACACTTGTATTGCTTTGCCGCCATCTGGATTGACAGTAAACACCCCACTGGAATTGAGACCATCTTGGAACAATTGAGAGCAGCTTCTCGCATCTGTTAGGAAGAAAACGAAGAGAATTTTGAAATTTTTCTTAGAAGATGATTAAGCAGTGATTGATATCAATGAAATATCTAACACTTTAACTTACCGCAGGGTTTTCCCGTATAGCCGTCATCACATTTGCATCGTACGCTGCCATCTTTATAGTTGGGAATGCAGATTCCTTTTTTGCCGCATTGAAAACTGTCCTCCTCACAAGCACTCTGTGAAAAAATAATCTCTTAGATTAACTAATCAGTTTTCCTCATATGAATTATAATAGTTCCGAAAAAAACAAGGGGTTT